CTCTTGGGGTATGTCTCTATAAGCTTGGCACATCTAGCCACTGGGATTTTTGCCCATTCTTCAAGGCAAAACTACTCCAGCTCCTTCAAGTTGGATGAGTTCCGCTGGTGTACAGCAAACTTTAAGTCATACCACAGATTCTCAATTGGATTGAGGTCTGGGCTTTGACTAGGCCATTCCAAGACATTTAAATGTTTCCCCTTAAACCACTCGAGTGTTGCTTTAGCAGTATGCTTAGGGTCATTGTCCTGCTGGAAGGTGAACCTCCGTCCCAGTCTCAAATCTCTGGAACGCTGAAACAGGTTTCCCTCAAGAATATCCCTGTATTTAGCGCCATCCATCATTCCTTCAATTCTGACCAGTTTCCCAGTCCCTGCCGATGAATAACATCCCCACAGCATGATGCTGCCACCACCATGCTTCACTGTTGCCTCCCTGATTAATGCCTCCTTGCCTGGTCCGTGAGTTTTGGTGGGCGGCCCTCTCTTGACAGGTTTGTTGTGGTGCCATATTCTTTCCATTTTTTTTATAATATATTTAATGGTGCTCCGTGGGATGTTCAGAGTTTTGGATACTTTTTAATAACCCAACCCTGATCTGTACTTCTCCACAACCTGTTTGGAGAGCTCCTTGTTCTTCATGGTGCCGCTTGCTTTGTGGTGCCCCTTGCTTAGTGGTGTTGCAGACTCTGGGGCCTTTCAGAACAGGTGTATATATACTGAGATCATGTGACAGATCATGTGACACTTAGATTGCACAAAGGTGGACTTTATTTAACTAATTATGTGACTTCTGAAGGTAATTGGTTGCACCAGATCTTATTTAGGGGCTTCATAGCAAAGGGTGTGAATACATATGCTCACCACTTTTCTGTTATGTATTTTTTAGAATGTTTTGAAAAAAGTTATTGTTTTCAATTTACTTCACCAATTTGGACTATTTTGTGTATGTCCATTACATGAAATCCAAATAAAAATCCATTTAAATTACAGGTTGTAATGCAACAAAATAGGAAAAATGCCAATGGGGATGAATACTTTTGCAAGGCACTGTAGGATGAGAATCCACAGATATGCATTGTACTGGTATGCATAATAATATTGTCAATATGATCCCTCCCAGTGTGTCAGTCTGCAGTAGCAGCCTGCAGTATCTTAATAGGGACGACCTGAGAACTTCAGCGTATCAAATTCCACTAACTCGCGGCGTACGGCCTCCTCCACGGTATAAAAAGACGTTAGTCTCCGTGTCTCTCCCTGTGTCTGTTTATTATTGTGTCATCATATTGGTGGAGGAGCAATTGAGACTAATTTGTGAATATCTCCGGAATAAAAGAGAGGCAGCGATCAATGTAACCCTCTCTTCACCCCCGGGCGATCTGCGAGCTGGTACATTACGTGATTAGAATGCAGGTTGCCGTGCCTACGGGCCAGGCGCCGCTCCCTACACACTCGTGTTCTGTTTAATTGGGTTAACTAATAAGGAATTAAGCTGGTACTCAGACAAAAACACACGCACATACACACATACGTGTAAGCACAAACAAACACACACACACACACACACACACACACACACACATATACACTGAGTATACCAAACATTAGGAACACCTTCCTAACATTGAACTGCACCCCCTTTTGCCCTCAGAACAGCCTCAATTTTTTTACATTTACATTTACATCATTTAGCAGACGCTCTTATCCAGAGCAACTTACAAATTGGTGCATTCAACATATGATAGCCAGTGGGACAACCACCTTTTATTTTTTATTTTTTTATTTTTTTATTTTATATTTTTTATGGGTGGGGTGGGGGAAGAAGGATTACTTTATACTATTCCAGGTATTCCTTAAAGAGGTAGGGTTTCAAGTGTCTCCGGAAGGTGATCAGTGACTCCGCTGTCCTGGCGTCGTGGGGGAGCTTGTTCCACCATTGGGGTGCCAGAGCAGCGAATAGCTTTGACTGGGCTGAGCGGGAACTGTGCTTCCGTAGAGGTAGGGGAGCTAGCAGGCCAGAGGTGGATTAACGTAGATTCCAAACTCTCCACCATGGCCAAGACCAAAGAGCTCTCCAAGGATGTCAGGGACAAGATTGTAGACCTACACAAGGCTTGAATGGGCTACAAACCATCGCCAAGCAGCTTGGTGAGAAGGGGACAACAGTTGGTGCGATTATTCGCAAATGGAAGAAACAAAATAACTCTCAATCTCCCTCGGCCTGGGGCTCCATGCAAGATCTCACCTCGTGGAGTTGCAATGATCATGAGAACGGTGAGGAATCAGCCCAGAACTACATGGGAGGATCTTGTCAATGATCTCAAGGCAGCTGGGACCATAGTCACCAAGAAAACAATTGGTAACACACTACGCCGTGAAGGACTGAAATTCTGCAGCGCCCGCAAGGTCCCCCTGCTCAAGAAAGCACATATACATGCCCGTCTGAAGTTTGCCAATGAACATCTGAATGATTCAGAGGAGAACTGGTGAAAGTGTTGTGGTCAGATGAGACCAAAATGGAGCTCTTTGGCATCAATTCAATTCGCCGTGTTTAGAGGAGGAGGAATGCTGCCTATGACCCCAATAACACCATCCCCACCTTCAAACATTCAGGTGGAAACATTATGCTTTGGGGGTGTTTTTCTGCTAAGGGGACAGGACAACTTCACCGCATCAAAGGGACGATGGACGGGGCCATGTACCGTCAAATCTTGGGTGAGAACCTCCTTCCCTCAGCCAGGGCATTGAAAATGCTGGATGGGTATTCCAGCATGACAATGACCCAAAACACATGGCCAAGGCAACAAAGGAGTGGCTCAAGAAGAAGCACATTAAGGTCCTGGAGTGGCCTAGCCAGTCTCCAGACCTTAATCCCATATAAAATCTGTGGAGGGAGCTGAAGGTTCGAGTTGCCAAACGTCAGGCTCGAAACCTTAATGACTTGGAGAAGATCTGCAAAGAGGAGTGGGACAAAATCCCTCCTGAGATGTGTGTGCAAACCTGGTGGCCAACTACAAGAAACGTCTGACCTCTGTGATTGCCAAAAAGGGTTTTGCCACCAAGTACTAAGTCATGTTTTGCAGAGGGGTGAAATACTTATTTCCCTCATTAAAATGCAAATCAATTCATAACATTTTTGACATGCGTTTTTCTGGATTTTTTTGTTGTTATTCTGTATCTCACTGTTCAAATAAACCTACCATTAAAATTATAGACTGATCATTTCTTTGTCAGTGGGCAAACGTACAAAATCAGCAGGGGATCAAATACTTTTTTCCCTCACTGTACAGTCAGACACACAGGCTAATACTATGCTAAAGACTGCACACGATACACACACACACACACACCTACTACACACATTGCAGGTAGAAACACACAGCAAGTTAATTTGGTCCACCACCCACTGTTGAGCCCTGCTGCTGTTCTGATCGCGGCCTTGAAAAGCATTCATTTCTGGACAAACTGTTCATTATAAGAGGGAGAGAGATCTGAGAGTCTCACGCTGTCTGTGCCTCTCTCTCTGTTTCTCTCTCTCTCACTCTATATGTATCTCTCTCTGTCTCTCTTTTCTCTCTATCTGCCTCGCTCTCCCTATTGCTCTCTCTCTCTCTGTATCTCTCTCTCACCCTCTGTATCTGTCTCCTTATAATTTGTTTATCTTTCTATCTGCCTCTCTCTCTCTCTCTTTCTCCCTCTT